TAACGTTTGCAATGTTAAAAATCGTTTGAAGATATGTTCTTTTTTGTAAATGTATGTTCGCCTTTGATGATTTTATTTGCTACTACAAATCATGACTATTGAACCAGTTTTGTCCGAAACATTTTAAAAGTTATTTCGCGTGGTTATTTCACAAGTTCAAAAATAAAGATTATCAATTCATGACCATTGGTGGAGGAAAATTACAAAAAACTAGATCCACTATACTACTATCTGAATGATGCCAATTTTTATACATTGAGCTTTTTTTTATAATTAAAACTTTATTACTTTAACGAAATGAAAATATATTTTACTTGCATATGACTTATTTTTGTTACTAAAATAATTTACATTAATTGAGAACATAATGATTAAACTTAACATTGAAGTAATTTTACTTAGTAATACATTTATTGAATGGTTTTTATTTAAGAAAGATATCAAGGACATTGTTGACGATTTGCTCAAAAAATATGAAGACAATTTCAATCGATTTGAAGAAGTGCAAAAAATTGCTCCTGAAAAACTAGAAAGTTTTGGTCGAGCGAAAAACACTGCAAAACTTCAGCAAACTATGAAAAGCTCTTCGGCATTGAATTCCACTACTTCTAGTCACTATGACGAGCAGATTCAATAAACTAATGGAGACAACCATTATTGAAAATATTGAAGTCATGTAAGAGCGAAGGTTTGTTCCTCTTCAGTTGATAGAAAGCAACTGATAGAACGATGAACTTGATTTTTTGATATTTGTTGACAACTAGATAATCCTGTGTAATTGTGATCAACTTCTATTATTTCGATATTTTCGAAATAGAATCGAAAACAAAAAATATCAATGTCTTACTCACCTGTCTTTATGAGAATTCGTGACATAGAAGAAACAATTTTCTAGGAAAATCGATTTATCTGAACTGAGTAAGCGTGGATATATCTGTTAATTTCAAATTGGTCAAGGCTACATTATCCATCAAAGTCGCTTGAAAATAGGACGCATTTCAGATTGTCATGATCAAATGCTGCGTTGAAAAAAGACTTCGTTAGACAATCTTTCGTTTTCGATATTTCTGAGAAACCTTCTTTTCGGAGTAAAAACTCGAGTTCCAAGTCAACATCAATTAATCAAAATCGAGAAGATTTTCGCCATTCATCAATATTAACATCATACATCATTACCGAATCAAGAACGAGGAAAATCACTGACAAACAACGAAAATCAACTCTAAGAAAGTTTAATTTCAGATGAACCAGAGCGAATAAACTAGCTCCTAACAAAGAAGAGTTACAGTTCGTTGTATAGAAATAGAGGTAGTTGCAATTCCTAGGACTAACTGAGACAGTCACAAATAGAGTTCATATGAGTTCATTAAAACACTTTTTTCAAATAAATTTTTCGTATTATGCAAAGGCGCATGTTGTCTCGACTACCTGAACTTTCTCCATGTTGGCAAGATTTCGACTATGCATTCCTTAACACACAATAAGATCTTTCAGTTCAAAAAGCACAGTATGCAGTCGTTATATATCTTTGATGAAATTCCTAGAAGAAATTTTGAACACATACACCTAATATTTGATGGGAAAATCCGATTGATCTCAAACACCAAGACCGAAAGTCTCTAATGGTCATCTATGTATCGGTATTCTTTATGCAGAGACAACATTCGATGACACATATTCGCAATCTTCCTACATCAATATGGCCGAGGAGATAATCAGAAGATACTGAAACACAAATTGTTTTTCGTACGAATGTTTCACTCTCAGCTAACTTTCATTTTTACGATTGATTATCCACAGAAATGCCACAGCTTGGTATAGCTGACGTGCGAAAATGTCAAGAACTTTCATGATATTAGAAGTGTCGCTTAACTACTTCATGCCTATTGTGGTTATGTGTAATTGCCTACTCAAATGAGTATTCACATCTGAATAGCAAAATATCTAAATATGACCATGGCTACACGACATAACTTACAGGTTGTTTACTAGAAAAATCATTTCAGTCAATCTCCAGGTGGTGAAAGCCAGTGCTGCAAAGTGTTTTGAGGATCGTCAAAACTTGTTTTGCATAGTCAATTCAATCCCATGTCCATCGAATGTTATTCTTGCTAGTTGAGTACTGAAGAGAAGAAGAAAAAGCGATGATTGTGCATTGTGCGGCGATGTTGGGGTGATTGGGACATAGTACAGACGATGAGCACATTCTCTGTTTCCCAATCCCAAGTTTCTGCTTTCACAGTGTAGTTCTTGTAGCCACTGTTTCCTAATGTGAGCAGAAAAATACGGCTCGAAATGCAGTGATTTGAGAGCAGGAAAATTCACACACAAATGATACCACAACTTGGTCTGGTGATTTAGAGCTCTTAAGAATACATTTATTCAAATATCCTATTGACATGAAGGGTCAAGATGTTGCAATAAACCAATCTTTCTCACTAGAAATTCTAACAGATAGAAAAACATCTAGCGTGTGCATTTTAATTGTTTTTAATGTAGCCATAGGAATAGCAAACATAGGACGGGCACGTTTGGACGCAGTCAAAACTCAATGTCCAGCCCATTCAGATTATTGATTGTACATAAAATCATTGCCCATATGTCGAAAAAAATCGATTAGATTCATTTCGAGAAAGGAAGTATGGACAAAGTGAAGACACAGGAGCATGTTCCGCAAAGGACTAAAGACAAAGCCTGGTAGAATTCGACTAGTACGGGGCCCGTTAGTCTATTGATTAATGAAACAACATACGAACATAAGTACACATTAGTATGCAGCGAGAAGAGAAGAGAAAGATGAACAATGATGTTTTGTTGAAACTTTCAGGATATTTTAATAACTATTAGATCTGTCTACAGGCAAAATTTCAGATAGAACTTCTTTAATTCGTTTTCATCGAAAATACTTGGCTATAAAGCGAAAATTTAGTAAAGCGGTCAGAACTCTTCATCAGTAGACTATGAGTGCAAACTCTTTGGGGATTTTCTTGGTCTCATCGAGACCTACTACAGCTGTTCGTACAGAGTCATAACTTGCGGGGCCGTTGGGAAATTTTCTCGTTAGTACTCACTCATTAATTGAGAGATTACTTATTTGCTAGTTTTCATTTTAACAACGTTTTTACTATCGAACTAGGTTTTGTATATCCAATGCTAGAGTAACCTATTGGTTAAGACATTTATTCAAAGACTCAATTGACAACATTGAATTAGAGTTCGATTCGTATCCCGGGGTAAATTGTCTTGGTTCTTCATGTACACCTGCATGATCTACTTTTGTTCACATCCGGAAAAGCTCTTGAGAAGATCGAAACTTTTATTCTATTCGATGCCAGGGTGGCCGAGTGGTTAAGGCGCTGGTCTCAAGATCCAATTCACAACGGTGAGCATGGGTTCGAATCCCATCCCTGGCAAACTTTTTTGATGTATTACTATATTCATCTATAGAGTTTTATTTTTTATTATTATTAAACTTTCATTAAATCGGATATTGTATGGAGTGAGCCGAAACTAGGTCATAATAAATGAGCCAGAATATTGATACAAAACTAAATCATAATTTGTATACTAGATATTTCAAAACAATCATCTTTGTTCTTAGGTATGGTGACTATAGATTTAAATGAAAACAATGTTTCAGATTTATTCAAGAAAATAGAACAATATATTTGTTATTTAGGAAAAGAAACCGAACCAGTTTACACTCCATTGGGCTGATCTTTGCATGAGTGTGTCGGCCGATGCACCATCTATTGATCGGACATTGATGGTAAATCCATACTTGCTAGGTTCATAGATAGCATTGATACCAGTAAGCAAATAATGACCCACGCCACCAGTGATGCTCGTGAAATAGATGGGTGTGTCTTGAAAATGACAACGGCTCGTGTCGATAGTCATCCTGATTGTATCGTCACGCGCCGTTCTTGTCCAACGGGTTACTGGTGAGATACCTCCACAAGCATTACCTGACAGCGGGTTTGAAACACAGATGGTAACGGAGATAGCCAGCAGAAATGCGATTACGAAAGTATTCATTTTTCAGAGTGATTTGAAGTTAACTGTTTATTATGTTGCCGATGCAAGCTTATTTATATATTTATCTACCTGCATGAATGACTTATCATTGTGACTTCAGGACAATTTAATGAAAGAGTCATTTGTCATACAAAGATAAGAATAATTTCTGCATTGTAATCGTTAAGGTGTGAAAGTGAGTTTTTATTCGTTTCTGTCTCTAAGATATGTAAATCAATATCATTGTGACAAAAATATTCTTGTGTATTTGATAACACTAGAGTTTTTTACTCTGTTATTCAACTGTTGTCAGTTATCAATTTGATCAAACCACAAAGTATTTCTTTGTAGAATGTAGTTTTGACTTGTTATTGCCAAAATGATATTGAATCTAGTTATTTCTTCTCATCGTGTCCAAAAACATTCTTTTCATGTAGAAACACGCTTTATTTTAGATGAAATAATGTCTTCATTGATGAAAACATATTTTTTCTGGAAGCAATCGATGATCCTGCATGATTTAAGCATAATTTCACGCATTTTCACCGGTTTTCTTACGATAAAAAGACTAATGGAAATACTTTTGAAAATAAAATCACTTGATTCATTCTGATTATTTGCTTGTGCTATTCAACGAGTCGATTTCGATAAATCAATGATGGAAAATGAAGGTTTGATTCTCTGTCACCGATCTTTTCAACATCGGAATAATCGAAACATTTGCTTGTAACACGATGAAAGATGGTTTTGGACGTAGGCGTTATACCATCGACCTACGATGTGGGTGTGAAAAGAGAGGTGTGGCTATAGCTCCACAGAAGATACACATCCACACCCACATGCAAAGTGTCATGTGGAATTAATATCTAGTCTGCATTATTATGAAATTGATAACTGCCAATAAGACTAATAGTAGCGCAAATATGTTTGAAAGAAAAAAAATATAGACATAGTATGTTTGTTTTATCTGCCATTTTCAGATGTTATTTCATGGAATAATATTCAAAAAAATCCGAATAAAATAAAGGTAGGAGAAATAATGCTAATGGCCACAATGCGGTGAACAATGAAGAACACTTATTGTTCGGTATTGTGGACCGAAAAATATGAGTAAGATGTTTAAGAGAACCAGCATCAGCATATGGATTTGGAACCAATTTAAGAATGTGACAAGCAATATGGTAAATATCGACCATATTTACAGAACGAATTTGAATGTTTTTATTGAAAGATGGACCACGAGCTAAAAATATAGCTTGCATTGACGGGAGTATATTATCCCATCCATGATGACCTTTCTTGGAATAGAAAGTGTTGGTTGTTGCCTAAATTTCAAAGAGAAATTAATAAAGTAATCACTCATCTTATTATTTTTCTAAACTTACATTTAAAATCATGACACCTTCGTTTGGTATTACAAAAATTTCACCAAGTCGATGATTTGGTTTGGAATAGTGGAAGCGTTTAGGTAGTTCATGACGTTTATATACTGTTACATTGGGAATTCTACGTAGACCATCGATCACTTGTTGAGTCTAGTTTTTGTAACATGACTTTAAATGACAGAAAAGTTCTATAAAATAATTGACTCACATATCCCTCACGTGGAGTAACACTAAATTGACCACCGAAAATAATATTTTCTTCGATCATGGATATATTAATATATTTTTCAAAAAATGGTCGAATAATTTTTTTGATATTCGACATACCCTCAAAATCATTTACAAAAAAAATACATTGCAAATATCATGTATGCAAGTAAAATTTTTTTGTTCTACATACATGATCGGAAACAAAGATGATATTCAAATTATCGTGCAATTCATTCTTCACTTTCCTCAATAAATATGCGACATCATGATCAATATGGGTTAACTTATAAAGAGAAAATTATAGGCGAATTTTCAATGACACTCAACTTCATACCGTTTTCCGTACTTCCATCGAATCAGGACCCCAAGCATGACCTTGCTTGTCCAATTCCCTTGAAGTAACAAAAAAAATGGATTGAGTTACAATAAACGAGCTATCTTTAACTGACTCATGATAGAGTAAAACAAGTTGAATAGGAAGTTCACGAAAATACCATAGAGCATTGTTGATTTTCTCACGAAATGATATAGTATTCGTATATGACCAACTGTAGACAAGCGGTCGAATACCGTGAAATTCATTATGACATGCAGGCCAGAAAAGCACTGCTGATTTTATACCCTGAAAAAAAAGAAACCACAAGCACTACAACTACCAGATTTATTAAAAAATACCTGTTTCGTTGCCGTGATCCAAAGTGGTTCAACCTTCGGATCGGACCATTGTCCTATATCACGGCTTTCTAAAAGAATTCCACTTTTAGTCTTTATAGACAACATATATAGATAGAGTGTTCCTAATGGCATATTCTGAAAGTAAACTACATCATTTCACTATTATTAGTTTTGACATGATATCATAGAAAGCAGTTCGACAGTGTTAGATGTAATTATCATAAGATTCAGGAAAACTTTTCCGCGCTCCCAATCTATATTTCACTGAAGATTTCATTGAATTAAATGTGAACTTGGTTCAGAAATCGGTGGCCAGGACGATCATTGTTCATTAATATGACACATCGACACATTTGTCAATAACAAATTACAGCTGACTAAACAGAGTGATTTGGCACTACCACATTGCTTTCTGAAGGTTCATATGAAAACTAATTTTTGTAAAATAACAGTTGAAAGATTAGAATGATTTAAAATTGAGAATAATGAAAGAGTTTAAATTAATTAAAAAAACAGTTGTAAACTTCGTCTACATAAGTTAAAGCTTAGAAAACTTCTCTATTATACACAAGTGTATATATGTACAAACGTACAAACCCATTGAAATAGTTTTCTTGAGAAGTCGATCGTAGAATGTATTGTGTATAATACCATGTTGGTCTTGGTACATTCCTACCATCATCCAATCATGAATCAAATAAAACAAAATCTTGTCATCAAACGTACCTGTTACAATTGAAATATGATTAGGAAAAGTCATAGTAGAGAATGTAGGTTGCATTCCTTCCGTAGCATACACTCCTTCATTTCGAAATCGATTCGATGCCGGTAATGCATGTGTATTGAAATATTGATGACGAAATCCTTCGAATAGCAATAAAATTCGATATTTTGACTAACGACATTATAATTTTCTTTGTTCTACCATCGAGAGAAATGATGAGAAGACGAGGAATATCTGTCAATAATTGTTTTTGTCCAGTGCCTATTGACAGAATTTGAAAGATGATCGTTAGTAATAGTGTCCAATCGTACTGAAACATATCTGGTTGAAGCACTATTTGACAAATGAAAAGAACAATAAATGCTAGTTTATATTAAAAAAAGGAAGTATTATTTCTCTTGTTTGGACTACATCAATGTGAAAAAAAAGAAAGGAAGAGCGCGTTGAAGATTGATTAAATATGTCGTTATCTTTCCCCTTACTTAAGTAGCAAGAAGGTTATCCGAGAGAAAAAAAACAAGTATTAAAATGCTTTCAAATTTTTATTCTGATCAAGTTAGGTTGAAACCGAAATAATTTGCACTGTAGATTAAAAAAAAGAGCAGCGCTAGTGTATGAATGTAAGTGCGATTTGGCAATTTGTAGTTCATAATAGCCTTCCGATGCTAATGTTAAGTAAAATATCAACAGAAATTAACAGGTTAGTTTTTCAAGATTTCATGGTATTATTTCGAACGTGATAGAATCCTGAAGATTGAGAAAACTCCTAGAACTTTTATCCTGATTTCTGATTCGGAACTTCATATAAATAAATACAGAGAATGTATAAATTTAAATAATTAGGGTTTTCATTTAAATCAGGCTTTTGCCAGAGCCTTGTTTCATGTCCTATCAACATATTTGCCATTTTATGACTGAATAGTTCTCATAGGATTTACGATTTTCTAAACAAACGCCTAATTTCAAAACAGATGATAAACTGTTCAAGATTTTGTTTTAATTCTGATTTTGAATACTAGCACGATCTTGAAATTTAGTGACTATATGCTTCTTTCAAGAATTAGGCATTTTCTGAATGATTTCTACTTGACGCAACGTATTTAAGAAATATATACAACGATACAAATAGAATTGAGAATATTCTAGGTGTACTTGAAACTACATACTTTTTTTTGGCAACGGCAGAAAATGTCGAATTGTTATGCTCGTATATAGTTGTTTACGGAACAATATATCCAACAAGTGTCTTCTATGTTTATCTTACATTAGCTTTTTCTATGTATGAAGGAAAGGAAAAAGAAAAAGATGACATAGTAATTGAGAAAATAGCCACATCTTGTAATTCATCTGATCCAACGTATTTAAGACATATACGCAACGATATGAATAGCACTGAGAATATTCCAGTAGTATGTGATAATGCAAATTTTTGTGGCAACGAAGAAAAATATTTAATTTGAGGGTGTGTGTGTGAGGTATACTATTGAGTGTAGAAAAACAGGACTCTTAAAGTGCCAACTAGCGACTAGATGTAATGAAAAAAAGTTGTTTCATTAGAGAAACTTATGGGAAAGTTATCAACAATGCAAAATTCAAATTAAAAGTCTTGAATTAAATTTTACATTTTCAATAGTTCAAAAAACAAAACTTATATAATGACCTATAGATCTTTTAGCATAAAAACTATATTCAATCACATTTTCTTAATCGCATTTTCAAAAAATGATTTTACCTGTGTATTTTGACTGAACTTAAATGTCAAGTTAGTTTCTCATTGAATCGTAAAAATAAAAATAATTCATTCATATACTCGATTTAAACTATTTTGACATCAATGAATCAATTAATCCAACATTCAGACTCTAGTCTAGTCTAAAATTAACTTTAAAACTTCAAGTTTAATTTCAGCAAACTCTAAGCTTTCTTCATCAAATAAAATAAAATTTTCTCATTTCATATGTCAGGTTCGAAAAAACGCATATTTATAAAAAAAATGGTATTTTTTAGGTTATGCGGAAAATGTGTCACTCCAGCTCAGGCTTTTGGCTATTGAAACAAAAATGCAGACAGGACGACTTTTTGCCACAACATGAAACATTTTCGAAGTCTAAGAATCATTTCGCTAGAAAGAGAATGCCATGGTAACTAAAAAAACATACATTTTTGGTATCAAAGTTAGGTTCAAATCGCCGATTTCTAAGATTATAAATTTAAAAATGGTGTTCTCTTTCAAACCAAATAACCTTCAGACTTCAAAAACCTTTCATTTTATGACAAAAATCCGAGTGTTGGTGTTGGTCTGCATATGGCTCCCATCATCGCACACCTTTGCTGCAAAATTAAATGAATTCTTAGTCATAGAAAATATCCAAAGTGTGTGCTCTCAAATACATTTTCCTATTAGATAGGAATTTAGTTTCTTAAACGGCATACGTGGTTGAATTAAAGCAAAGAATATATTAACGGAGTGCACATTCCAGTTATATGAAAAATACGTTTCGAATGAATGTGTTTCTATATAATAAAAGACTTATTTTCAAGTGACATGTCTTATGATAATCATGTTTAATATATGTGAGAACTCGGTTTTTGCAAGGAATAAATGAAAAAGATTTTTAGAGCTTCCTTTAACGGTATACTTACATACTTACAGGTAATACTTTTGATAATAGATTACTTTTTCAACAACTTTTTTTTTAATAAGTTTTATACCATAAATCGTCCAATTTGGTACTTATACAATACGAAAATCATGAACGCAATGAGTTCTTTATCACGAAGACGACTTCTAATTTGTCCAAGACTTTCTATCATCGATTTTGTTTAAAATAAATTATCACTCTCGCTGAAAAAAATATTGTTAGATCAAAACTGGAATTAAAAAATTGCCTTATATCTATGAATACTTTCTTCAACAAAACATTTCGACATAAACGTCATCAATTTGTCATTCAAGCAACAGCTTAGAATAGCATCTTGAAAAAGTGAATGTGAGAAGCAGATATGATAATCATCGAATATTTAAAAGTTTATCAGATAATACACGTTGGTCACTTGACCATGTGCAACATCAAAACATGTTTTCGGTTATATTTACGATAAATAATATTTTCAATATACACAACCGAAAAGACGGAAAACAAATTATACTCAGAGTGGAAGATATTGGTGAGCAGAGTTCTACTTGGAATCGAAAATACTGATAGATATTGATATTGAACTACTAGATTTAACCAATGTTCTTTATTGATTTCAATACAATGAATGCTTATTGTAAGAAGCGCAAGAACGAAATATAACACCCAAACATATCTCTGTTAACTACGTTACAGCAATTTCGAAGACAATATGCACGAATATTTGTATATACGTTTATAGCATGCAAATGATAATGATATATATATCAGAGCTCTATATGGAATGGAAAACTTCCATCCCATGGAACAAGATAGAAAGTAGATATTTTGATAATTATTCAAAGAACAGAATACTAATATACAGAAAGAGAAAAGTAAACAGAAAGTATACATCGACGACAGCTTAATCTAATTGTATTATCATTTATCATAACGAATAGCTCTCACCGAATTTTTATTAGGGTGTGGGTGTAGGTATGTAGCTGGGCCTGCAAAGATGATCTGCAGCTACACTCATAGCAATAATCATGGACACACCCACATCTACATGTACATATAACAATTAATAAACTTTCCAACAATATTATAGTTTGAGAAGAAGAGAATAGTATCATCCGAAAGATTTAATATTGGAATATTAATGGTATAAATTTCAAATACAACTTATCCATAAAGATTATTATTTGATTGTTTCTTTTGTTGAAGACCTATAATAATTTTCTCTCGATTTATATTATCCAATAAGAAACCCGATCGATATCAGAAGAACATCTTGATGATTATATAAAAATTCGATTCGTTTTTTTACTCATAATTGTACCAACAAAAATAAGATATCGTTGATTTTATGCATATAATAATATTATTTTGCGAATTAAATCAATCATAATCGAGCGAGCTAAATAAACAGTATCCATATTACACTGTTTCAAGGCATTTTGTAGAATTCGTTGAATAAAAGTTGACTTTTTTGCATCATACCAAATTTCTGGTCTTTCTCTATTGTAAATCATTTCAAAATAATCTATTTCATTAAATGCCAAAGAAAATGACTCAATGAATATTTAAATCAGATGCAGATTGTTTCTGTTTAGATTCATAAAAAAAGAAATTCAGCATTACATATAGTTTGAAATTCTACATCCATGACTATCGAAGTTATACAAGATTGTATGTCCTATGAAACAAACGACACCATTGAACTCTCTTTTGTTGAATTATATACGTAAACAGATAATAATAGGTGTGTGGACTACGAAATAGTTGATTGA